TATATATGTTAGTCAGAAATAGCTAGACGAGCCAGGTCAAACAGAGGTCAGGGTGACATAGACCTTATCTGCGTTACTTATCGGTCAGGGCGATTGTGTGGTATTATTTAACCCTGATTGTCACCCAAGACGCGTGATTTACCGGTCGATTATTTATAGCTGGTTGGGCTGTTTTTAGGTCGTGCTAGGGCTAGGGTTGAGTTTATGATAGGGCTAGGGAAAGGGTTAGGGTTAGTGGTAGGGTAAGGGTTAGGTTTAGAAATAGGGTTAGGGTGAAGGTAAGAATGGGAGATAAGGTAAGGGATAGGGTTAGGGTAAGGGAGGGATAGGGATGGGATGAGAGTTAGGGATAGGGTTAAGGCAAGGGCTAGGGCTAGCATCAATAAAGACCCATCAGTTGATGTACGTGCCTCAGCTTGCTAACGCAAACAACGTTACACCACCCTTCACGTCAATAATCTCGTACAATTACACATTGTACACAGTGTACAACTAGCGCCCCCTTCCCTCGCCGCATCTAGCGCGCAATCCGTCTCTTGCGCTAGTTGACAACCGTGCCTCAGTCAGCTAACACAAACAACCCTAAATCAAACTTCCACGGCAATAATCTCGCACACAGCAAGCAGCTAAATATAACAAGGAGAGGAAGCGCCGCCATATCTGGCCCAAATTTGGGTTCGGCAGAGACCCTAGAACAGATTAGTGCTCTATTGTCTCTGGGTTCGGTCTGCACAGCCGTTTCAGCTGATTATGGTCCATAGATGGCGCCCTTGAGGCAAAAAGCACACAGCCAATGGGTGTCACTTTCCCCCGGGCGTAGATGGAGGGTGCCGCTACGTGGCAGCACTAACCCTAACCCGAACCCTAACCCTAACCCTAACCCGAACCCAAACCCAAACCCAAACCCTAACCCTAATCCTAACACAAGTGCAGCCACATCACGTGACCCTCCATCTACGCCCGTGGGAAAGGAAAGTGCATCCCCACAGGCAATCCGCTTCCTCTCCTTGTTATATTTAGCTCCTTCTCACACAGCAGCCTCGCCTTCCGTCGCCGCACCTAGCGGCAGACAATCGAGCGCGTCGCTCGTCTACGCACCTGCTTGCCTCTGACTAGAACAGATGTAGTGCTCGGCACGAGGCTGTCGACTATCTTGCCCAGGATGCTGTAGCAGAACCGGACCACCTTCCTGCAAGCACGCAAACACAACGATCGTCACGCACACCGACGCAGGGGAGAGAGAGAGACAGAGAAAAAGTGGGGGAGAGAGAGAGACAGAGAAAAAGTGGGGGAGAGAGAGGGAGAGAGAAGGTGGGATAGAGAGAGAGAGGGAGAGAGAAGGTGGGGAGAGGGAGAGGGAGAGAGGTGGGAGAGAGAGCGAGGGAGAGAGAAGGTGGGGAAAGAGAGAGAAGGTGGGGGAGAGAGAGGGAGAGAGAAGGTGGGAGAGAGAGAGATCAAATTAATGGAATTAATTTTTAGTATTTTTTTAATATTTATAATTTTTATAACATTCATTGCTATGCCATTATATTTTTTTTTACTATTTTTTCCATTGCAGTGACGGTGAGGAGGGTCATACTGATTTTAATAACTACTTTTAAATTGGTAAATTAATAAATAAAATAATTAAAATCGTACAGAGTCCGTCACCCGTCTGCAGACTAAACTAGTAGATAAATTGAACCCTAGAAATTCTGCTTTCAAATTGCGAATTTTGAACTCCGCTTCGAATAGCCAACAGAACCGACAACAATACGAAGAAAACCTAGCCCCGCGCGAAAGGTCGTCCTCAGCCAGCAGCGAGTCTCTCGACTATAAGTTTCGCGCGCGTGCCAGTAGGTGGCGCCGGTACCTGTGGCTGAGGTCCCTCGACAGCACCTTGACGAGGAGCTTTTTCACTTGGTTCGGTGCCAGCTCCTCTATCTTCTTCGCGTCCTCCTCATCCTCACAACCGTAGTTCAGTTCCAGCCTCATCGCGTGCAGCACCCACCTGCGGCAGACGACACGCGGTCACGCGGCGCCATCTATCGGCGACGTCGAGAGTTATTGTTGACGAGATATGTGGCTGAGAGCTTGACGAATTCCTTACAAACCGGGCTGTCATGCATACGCTATCTACCCTCGCTCCTCCCTCCCACTTTCCTCTCTCACGCCCCCTGCCTTTCCCATTCCTTTCCTGTCCCGCACCCCGAACTCCTTTCCCTTCCTATCCCCGCACCCTTTCACCTCTGATCCCGCAACCTCCCATCCCTTTCCTCCTGTTCTCTGCACCTTCCCTCTCATGCCGCACTTCCCCTTCTCCCTCCTCCCCCACCACTCCTCCTTCTCCCCTCCATATATATATATATATATAATATCATGTTTAGAGCTGGTGTGAGATGCGCTTGCAGTTCCACCTCGCTCTGCTGGGGGTTGTTATCTAAGCATATATGACAAAGAAAACTTGCATAAGTAATATTACTAATAATTATTGTGTTGCTGGGGTTACATCCGGTGTGTGTGTGTGTGTGTGTGTGTGTGATGGTGTGTGTGTGTGTGTGTGGTGTGTGTGGTGTGTTGTGTGCTGTGTGTGTGTGTTGTGTGTGGTGTGTGAAGCACTGCGTGTGCGCGGTGAGTGTGCGTGCTGTTATGGCAGTCGCGTGCAATGAATGGCAATGAATCCGAATGGCTATGATAGAGGAAGTCGCGTCGGTGTGTGTGTGTGTGTAATGCGTCGTGTGCCTGAGTGTGCGTTTATGCAGTCGTGCATGATGCATGATTCCGAATGGCTATGATAGAGGAGTCAGCGTCGGTGTGTGTGTGTGTGTAAGCGTGCGTGTGCGCGTGAGTGTGCGTGTGTATGGCAGTCGTGGCATGATGGCATGATTCCGGAATGGCTATGATAGAGCAGTCAGCGTCGGTGTGTGTGTGTGTGTAAGCGTGCGTGTGCGCGTGAGTGTGCGTGTGTATGCAGTCGTGGCATGATGGCATGATTCCGGAATGCTATGATAGAGGAGTCAGCGTCGGTGTGCGTGACGATCGTTGTGTTGCGTGCCTCAGGAAGTGTCGGTTCTGCTACAGCATCCTGGCAAAGATAGTCGACCAGCCTCGTGCCGAGCACTAACATCTGTTCTAGTCAAGGAGTGCAAGCATGTGCGTAGAACGACGACGCGCTCGATTTGTCTCGCTAGGTGGCGGGCGACGGAAGGCGAGGCTCTGTGTGAGAAGGAGCTAAATATAACAAGAGAGGAAGCGGATTGCCTGTGGGGATGCACGTTTCCTTTCCCACGGCCCGTAGATGGAGGTCACGTGTATGTGGCTGCACTTGTGGTTAAGGATTAGGGTTAAGGTCAGGGGTTAGGGTTTGGGTTATGGGTTAGGTTTAGGTGCTAGTGCTGCCAACGTAGCGCCACCCTCCATCTACGCCCGGCGGAAAGTGACACCCATTGCTGTGTGGGCTTTTTGCCTCAAAGCGCATCTATGGACGATAATTAGAAATGAAACGGCTGTGCAGACCGAACCCAGAGACAATAGAACAGCTAATCTGTTCTAGGTACTCTGGCCGAACCCAAATTCTGGGCCAGATATGGCGGCGCTGGCCTCCCTTGTTATATTTATAGCAGCTTGCTTGCTGTGTGCGAGATTATTGCCGTGGAAGTTCTGATTTAGGTTGTTTGCGTTAGCTGACTGAAGGCACGGTATGTCAACGAGCGCAAGAACGGATTGGCGCTAGATGCGCCGAAGGGAAGGGGGCGCTAAGTTTGTACACTTGTGTACAATGTGTAATTGTACGAGATTTATTACGTGAGGGTGGTGTAAGTTGTTGCGTTAGCAAGCTGAGGCCGTACATCCAACTGATGGGTCTTTATTGATGCAGCACCTAGCCCTTGCCTTACACCCTATCTCTAAGCCTCATCCATCCCCTAAATCCCTACCCTTTAACCCTATACCCTATCCCATTACCTTATCTCCCATTCTTACCCTTCAACCCTAACCCTATTTCTAAAACCTAAACCACTATACCCCACCACTAACCCTAAACGCCTCTTCTAGCCCGTATCATAAACTCAACCCTAGCCCTAGCAGCGACTAAAAAACAGCGCAAACCAGCTATAAATAATCGACCGTAAATCACGGCGTCTTGGGTGACAATGCAGGTTAAATAATACTCCACACAATCCCCTGACCGATAAGTACCAGATTAAGTCTATGTCACCTGACCTCTGTTTGACCTGGCTCGTCTAGCTATTCTGACTAAATATATATATATAATATATATATATATATATATATACAGGGTTAGGGTTAAGGGTTAGTCAGAAATAGCATAAACGAGCCAGAGGTCAAACAGCGGTCCACGCGGGACATAGACCCTACGAGCATAAGTAACACACCTCCCCCCACCCACTCGTTACAGGTGACCAATCCAGTGTGTTTCGGACACGAGAGGGCGTCATTTCGAAGGCCTAACCCTCTCGCCTGCACCCCACAATAATAATAATAAGGTAATAAAAATAAAAATAATAATAATAAATAATAATAAAAAAAAAAAAAAAAAAAAATAATAATAATAATAATGTTAATTAATAAACAGGTGACGTTCGGCGTGTTCGGACACCTGAGGAAGGGCGTCACTTTCGAAGCCAACCCTCTCCCTCATCCCATCAATCAATAATAATAATAATAAATAATAAAATAATATAATAATATATAAAAAATATAAAAAATATAATAAATATATAATAAAAATAATTATAAGAAATATTAAAAAAAATAATAAAAATAATGAATAAAATAATAATAATAATAACATAACAGGTGATCGTTTTGCGTGTTCGGACCAACGAGGAGGGCGTCCATCTCGAAGCCTAATCCACCGGCGAATATGAAGCGATGGTGTACACGGTCTCCAGCCGCACGACATCTGCCAGGCGGTAACGCACAGAACTCGTCCGTTAGCATCGAAAAACTCAAATCAGCAACAACCCCGCAGGTGTTCGACGGAATACTGAAATTCCGGGC